GAGAGAGAGAGAGAGAGAGAGAGAGAGAGAGAGAGAGAGAGAGAGAGTGAGTGTTTGTGTGGTTTGTGTGTGTGTGCACACATGCTGGGTATATCTACTCAGCTTAGTTTGTTTGCATAAAGGCTTTTGAAAATATTCACATAGTGTTTTCAACAGATAAAGTCATGCATAAGCTAATACATGAAAAATTTCATTATGCTCAATTTATTCCTTTAAGCATCAATTACCTTGGAACAATTTGCATTTCTAAACAATATTAAAACATTCACTGTAGTTTTTTTAAAAACTTTTATTCTCAACATTTTCAAGTAAGACATCTAAGCTTTGGAAAATAGAAAGAAGAAATTGCAAAACAAAGTCTCTGGCTGTAAATCCACAATAAATCAATTCTAGATAAGAAAGCAAGTAATGAAGTGAGGATAAGTGGCTTAACTACTTCACTTATATTCTACATCACAATAGGTTTATATCTTTGTTTTTTCTTTTCCTCCTCCTCCTCCTCCTCCTCCTCCTCCTCCTCCTCCTCCCCCTCCTTCTTCTTCTTCTTTGTCCTCCTCCTCCTCCTCCTCCTCCTCCTCCTCCTCCTCCTCCTCCTCCTCCTTTTCCCCTCCTCCTTCTTAGCAGAATCTCAGTTCTTTTTCTCAGGTCTCTACCAGAATTGGTTAAAGGAAAGTGAGTTATTTACGGGTTGGGTCAGAGAGAAGACTTGTTATTTTTTCATGGCTGTGACTGTGGCTATGTCACAGTTTGTAGAAAAGAAGAAATGAAACCAGGAATTTTGTATGTGGAGATTTCATGCCAGGAAAGTCATGGGAACCCTGAGGAGTCTTTTCTAGGAATCGAGGTCATTCTCTGGTGTCAGAGCTTGAGACTATCTTTGCCCCAGCATGCAACTTTCTGAAGAAATTTTGACGGTTTGTAGGCCTACTCTTAGAAACCATATAATAATTTAATTGGATTCTAAGAAATGACAATTTTATTCATAGGCTTCTCTTGAAAATCCACAGTTCCATTTATCTATCTATGTGTATCTATCGATCTATCTATCTATCTGTCTGTCTATCTATCATCTATCTATCTATCTATCTACCTACCTACCTACCTATCTATCATCTATCTATCTATCTATCTATCTATCTATCTATCATCTGTCTGTCT